AATTTTTCCTCACGTTACAATAAGGCGATTTAATCCCCTTTCCTCCCTATTCTCCCGGCACACCTCTCACTATCATTTCTCGTATAAATCTTATTTTATTGATAACCAACATTTCAGTTCATTAATTTATACCACAATCTATACAATTTTGTTGGGTCTTACAAAAAGACAAATAGAGAATCAAATGTTCAAAGCAAAATCAAAATCGAAGAACTAAAATAATCAGCGGCCCACAACATTCATAATACTCACAATCACACAATTAACTAATCAAGTACTTTAGACAGAAGAATAGGGCAGAAGAAGAGGACTTAATGTTCGAAGCCCAACGACGCACCAACCCTACACCGTGCTTAACTCACCAACAATCCACGAACCCTCCACGACCCACAAAACTATCCTCTTGAAGGAACCCTGGCACCAATGATGGAGACCCTCTACGTTTGCGAATTGGGGAACCCTAAATTGAAGAAGGAGATCGTTCAAACCCAGACGAAGCGCAACCGATGGATGTTCTACAAATGACGGAGAAGGTGTCCGTGATTGAAAGACGAGCTTAGAACGTCAATCACCTCAAGCTACTATTCTTTGGTTCGAAGCATCGAAATAGGATTTTTTGTTTCGAAGAATGAAAGTTGTGGTAGGAAAACCCAAGTTTTAGGGATTAAATATTGAGCAACCTATCGACGGTCACATATCTGCCGGTAAGTAAATTGGTCATGGCATTACTGATGGCCTAAGTGCCATCGGTAATATTCTGCGAGGAATTTTCACATTTTCCTGTAGTAACCTACCAAACAACCGTTATTTACTCATTTTATTCTCATATTATTTTCGAAAGATGATGTTTTCCATTAAATATGTTTCCTCAACGGATCTAGTGTATAAAATTAGTTAGTTACACAAAGATTATGGAAAACGCCAAATGATTCTTAACCAAGGTACAAGGTACTAAGAATTGTTGAAAAGTACAAGGTTCCATGCGATGCACGCACATAGAACAAATTGGAGATATGATTAAGCAAATTTGTTCCAAAACAATGGATGGTCAAATACACAACCAAATAAAACAAACTTAGATTCTATATCTTACAAAGCAAAAAAAAAAACATTTTGCACATTATCTTCATATTTTTATTCTATATTTAGATAAATATAGTAAGGTAGAAGAAAACTTGAATTCTTATCTCCCACCAATTCTCAAAGAATTGATCATCTCGTTGACCATTCTGCAATGTTTTAATAATGTTAGAAGAGTACTAGGACTTGTTATAATAATCACCATGCCGTTTTATACATTGTTAAGATAATGCACATATGATAATACATAAATGAATGATATTTTCTTTGAATTTTAATCGTGTTTTTGTGTTTTCTTTTTAAACTTAAGAATGGTCATTCAAAATAGATAATATATTTACGAAACTAATATATTTTAAAACATCAGTTTTGAAAATTTTCTATTTACCGAATTGTGAGAGTTTGTAATCGTAGGTCAAGTCTTTTACTCTTTATAAATGGACATCTCTCATAAGATGTATCTTCCTATGGAACCGCAAAAGAAATTGATATTCTATTAAATGCAAAGTTTTTATTTAGTTATAATCTTTGTTTTAGTTATTCAATTTGGTTTTTTTTAATTAACTTTCCATTTTTGTTAAAATAATTAAATTATATTCTTTTTATTATATTGAAATTAACGTCATTTTTATATATTAATTTATAATATTTTTATTTTAATTTTTAATTTTTAATTTTTTTAATTTTCTCAGTCTATTTTTAAGTAGTTTTTGTTGTTTGTGAGGTCATGTCACATGATACTGTTAATACTATGTGATAATGTTGGTATTCAATTCAGTTTCTATATTAAAAAATTTGACTCAATTATATTATAATTTTTTTAAAATGAAGCCATATTATTTTTTTCAATTTGAAATCAAATTAACAATTAAGTCTAATTATAATTTATATATACATATTCAAATAACTTTTTATAATTTATACCTCAAATCACTCTACTAAAATAGTAAAATTAATTTTATATTTTAGATTTTTAATTTCAAGAAAATAATCCTTATTTTAATCTTATAATTTTTTTAAAAATATTAAAGATGTAATTGTAAAGTGACACTTTATTTTACTGGAGAGTATTAGTAGTTAGTTTTGTTAGTGGAGAGAGTTGAACCACAAAATTAATTTTATTTTTTACATTTATAATTTCAATAAAAAATTATATTTTAAATTTCTAACTTTTTTTTTTAATATTAAAAATATAAATTTAAAGGAAATTTTTTTATGGACAAATGTTAGTTGTTAGTTTTGTTAACGAGAAGTTGAACTCACCAAAACGTGAAATTAATATTATTTTTTATGTTTTTAATTTCAATAAAAAAATATCCTATTTTAAACTTATAAGTTTTTTAGTATTAAAAATATAAATGTAAAATGACACTTTTTTTTATTATCTACAAATGGTAATTGTTAGTTTTATTAACCGGGAAAGGGTTAAACTCACCTAAATAGTAAAATTAAGTTTATTTTTTCTATTTTTAATTTCAATAAAAAAATTTATTTTAAACTTATAATTCTTATTAAAATATGAAAATTATAAATCTAAAGTGACGCCCTTTTTTTATTAACAAATGGAGAGTTGAATTTAACCTCTCTCACCCTTCATTTCAATTTTAAACACTAAATCAATCTTATAACTTTATATAAAGGGACACCTTGTACTTTTTGAATTTTAATATTTGAAATACAGTTTTTTAAACAAAATAACATACATTTTTCAAAATTAGTTCAAATATAATTTTTTAAACAAAGGAAAAATAGTTTTTTAAACAAAGAAAAATATAAAGTTTAAATTATTTTAAATATTAAAATTTAAAAATTATTTTAATGGAAGTAATTTAATATATAAATTCTAAAATAAATTATATATATATATATATATATATATATATATATATATATAAGTTGTACTTAGAAGATATGACTATGACACTGAAACGTGATATTCACACTTACAGATAACACTAACATTATCAAGTGAGAGGATGATGAACTGACACATTAGAAAAAAAAAATTTAATGTGAGTAATTAAATTAATTATTTAACTTCTATTAATAAACATAGATATTTAAATATTCTTAATTATTTAACTTTTACAGAAATATTATTTTATTTAATTTTTAAGAAAAAAATATTTTTAAATGATGATTTTAATTTTTTTTAATTATTAGTTTTAATTTATATTTTAAATATAAATATTTGATATTTTTAATTAATTAAAGTTAACTTTTTTTCAATATATACAAAAAATATGTTAATACTTGTGATTGATTTAATTATCTAAAAGATATAGACATTTTTGTCCATTGTTTATCCAGGTGTTTTTTTTTTTCAATAAGTATAACTATTTGAATATTTTCAATTAAATTATTTATTTTTATTTTCGTTTATTTAATTATTTAATGTTACAAAAGTCAAAATCAACATTGATCTCCATTAAAAGAAAGACTATGTAAGCAGTAATTTACCTTGCTTAACTAGAATTCATGGGAATGTGGAGATATAATTAGAAGAAAAAAGGATTTGGGGATAGGCAATGGAGAATTGGAGGCATAATACATAGATACATCATTTGGATACATTTGTCAACCAAATAGTAATAGGGCTTAGTTTGAAACTACGATAGAAGCAAACCTCAAACTTCTCGCCTAACTCGATTAAAACTCATCCTGTTATGGTGTTCACTAGAGCAAAATTTGAAGAGAAATCATGAAACATTTAGAAAAAAAGTACGACAGCAAATGTATTATTTGGATTTTTTTTAATGAGAAAAAATATGATATTAATCAGGCTAAAAAATTAAACGTGAATACAAAAAACAAAGATACTTTAAACTTCTCAATTGAAACACCATCTCTATAAACCCATCACTACCAAAACGAATGAAACTTATTTCCATTTTCTCTACTTGTGCACTTTGTGCTGGACTTTGAATGACAGTGGAAAGTTGTATGAATGAATCTAATTCTTGTACTTCATTTCAGATACCAGGAAACCGGGCATGCCATACGCGGCAGAGAACTTCTCAACATCAGATTTGAGATCTTCAATAGCCTTGTTGTCGACGAGGCCCTTGCTGAACTCCTTTAGAAGTTTGCCATATTCCTTCTGGATATCTAGTGTGAGAGTCACGGCACGGTGAAGGAACTCACCAATCTGCTCAAAGTCCTTTTCAACCAAACCCCTAGAAGTCATGGCAGGGGCACCTGCTCACACAAACTCCACTCAGATACTTGTGCTAAACAAACCCACAGATTTAACCAACATCTCAGCAAAAATGCAGAAACAGGAGCAAAAACAAAGCAGCATTTCGGTAAACTCATCAAAATTCTTCACTTCTATGACAAATATACTTTGAAAAAAAAAATCAAAAGTAACACACTAGGTTATAATTGATTTGCGAGTAATATTGCACGAACTAACAACTCAAAATGCATTGAAAAGGCGTCTGCAAGCTCCCCGAACTATTACACAACTGATAACACACAAAATGAACACATCTTTAATTAAAATTCTTCCAATAATAATCTACAACAACTAATATACAATACCGTGTGTATGAATGCATTAAAAAATAACAAAACTTATATTTCGGCGTTTTGGGCGTTGTTCCTAGATTTAACTTCAATAAATATGCTGCTATGCTAATCTTATATAGACCTAATTATTGCACATATTATAACCCTAATAGGAAACAACACTAGAGCAAGACAAAACACGCCAAAGTCAACTAAGATTTCCCTCATTGAAGGCAAGACAAAACATTGAGTTGCTTCCAATTTTATACAGAGTCACCATGATTTTGGATCTTTCACTGCCAATCCAAACACGTAACTAAAATTACTTAAGAAACTTCATACGATTTTTGTGATTAGAAATTAAGGGTATAGATAGACACAATCCAAGATCTTGTTTCCAAGACAGTTAGTAAAGAAAGATTTGTGATTTAGCACATCGATGAGAAGCGAGTTACCAATTCGTACACCCCCGGGGGCCAACGCACTGCTGTCACCAAAAACAGCATTCTTATTGACGGTAATGTTGCAGAGATCACAAAGTTTCTCCACCTTGTTCCCTGCGAAGCAAAAACACACGTTGTTAACACATTGGCAACAGATCGAAATCAGAAGTTGGAGGAGATGGATGGATAGATAGGATGTATACCAGTCAATCCAAGAGGTCTGAGATCCCACAAGACAAGATGGTTCTCCGTTCCACCGGTGACGAGACTGTACCCTTTCCCCATCAAGAACTTGCCGAGCGCAGCGGCGTTGGCCTTCACCTGCTTGGCGTAGGCCTTGAACCCAGGCGTCGCGGCCTGTTTCAGTGCCACGGCGAGGGCCCCAATCTGGTGGTTGTGAGGACCACCCTGGAGAGAAGGGAAAACGGCGAAGTTGATTTTGTCCTCAAATTCATAAACGGCGTTCTCTGGCTGCCCCTTCTTGGGCGGCTTCGGACCCTTCCGGTAGAAGATCATGCCCGCCCTGGGACCGCGCAAGCTCTTATGCGTCGTGGTGGTGACAATGTCGCAAAATTCGAAGGGGTTGTTCGCTTCCTGCGCGGCCACAAGGCCACTAATGTGCGCCATGTCGCAGAGGAGCAGTGCGCCGCACATGTCCGCGATTGCCCGGAAGCGTTTGTAGTCCCAGTCGCGAGGGTAGGCGCTTCCGCCGCAGATTATCATCTTGGGCCTGAAGTCCAGCGCCTTCTCCTCCAATCGGTCGTAGTCAATGAACCCCGTGGTGGAGTTCACCTTGTACGGGAGGCTCTCGAAGTATATTGAGGTGGCAGAGATCTTCTTCCCGCCGGAGGTGTAGTACCCGTGGGTGAGGTGACCGCCAGAGGGCAGATCCAGCCCCATGATGCGGTCGTGGGGGTTCAGCACCGCCGTGTACGCGGCGAAGTTGGCCGGGGAGCCCGAGTAGGGCTGCACATTGACCCCCCACGATTGGGCATCGAGGTGGAAGGCGGTGAGGGCGCGTGAGCGACACAGGTTTTCGATCTCGTCAATGAACTCGTTGCCGCCGTAGTAGCGATTTCCCGGCATGCCTTCTGAGTATTTGTTGGTGAGGGCGCTTCCCAGGGCCTCGATCACCGCGAAGGAGGTGAAATTCTCCGATGCGATCAGCTCAATTCCGCGGCACTGGCGACGCTTCTCCTTTTCGATCAGGTCGTGGATCTCGGGATCCACCGTCACCAAAGGCGCGTTCCCCCACACGCTCACAGGATCCATGATTGTTGAAAATTAACGAAGAATGTCAGTGAGTGAGCGAAGAAGGAGAAGAATGTGTTGTGTTGGTTGAGTCGGGGTGAGTGTGTTTTTAAAAGGTAAGAGCGAATGTGAATGGACAGTTGTAGCCTGTGCTTCAGTTTTGTTAGTTACGTGCAGGTTAATTATGTCCACTTGTTCTCCTGGAGCTCCTCTGCTAACCAACAACTCCTTCCATTATTATTTTCACTCATATATTAATTATTAATTATTTAAAATTTTATAAAGAGATCTATTTTTTTTAAACCCTTTCATGAGAAGAGTTTGGTTTCACTACGGATTTAATAAATGTTGTGTAAGTGATGGTGTAGCATCCCAAGTATGATACTATATAAAAAAAGTCATATAATAAATATAGTATGATACTATATAAAAGAGTCATATAATAAAACAGTTATTAACTATCATATAAAGTAAAGTTTTACGGTTATCTCAAAATAACTATAAAAGGTTATCAAGACAACTACTCTTATGCGTCGTCTCCATCAACGTCGTTCCCATCAAGAACCTCTTTCAGGAACATCTCATATTCTTTTGCTCACACCCACAGAATGATCGTAGCAAAAGAGAAAACAAAGAAAACATACAACACAAACACAAATAGAAGGGTAAGCTAGAAGAAAACAAACAATGATATATGAATACATATTAAACATTTCTCATAAGATACTTACATAGCACATTATTTCAAATTAGACTTTATTTATGACCACTACTTTTGACTTGACCATCTGAATTAGTATGAATATGTAGCTATAACAGTTCATGCACTTGTTGTGGTGAAACAGCTGGCCTACCCCAAGCTACCACACAAGGTTAGTTCGTTATCACTCACCTTAGGCCAAGAAAAAACCCTAAGGCTAGGACCTCCTGCTATTCTTTCTCATGACATTCCTCACCCCCTCTCTACTTGAGAATAGGTGACCATTAGAATGTCAGGATGAACTCCAAGACTGAGCTTCCCATATTCATACTTCCTAACTTTGACAATCACCACTGAGAAATTCCTCTTGAAATTCTCTTCTACATCATTTGAAACAATATACTTTACTCTGATACTCACATAATACTCATACACATTCATGCATCATCCACAAATGAATCAATTACATAACTCAAACCAGTTAAGAACAAAGAATAAAAGAGTACCTTACAACCTGGACCAGTCGCTCAGTGTACACACTCGCTGAGCGACCATAGAGTTCTCTCGCACAACGACAATAACCCCATACTCCAAACCATTCGCTTAGCGATCCAACTCCCTAAGCAAATAAAACATCAGTGGTACCAGACCCTCAACTCACTCGCTCAATAACCCCATTCGTCGATCGAATAAAACTCACAGGGCTCCCATACCTCAATCAGCCGCTCAACGCACCTTCTCGTTGTGCAAATCATCAAACAATGAGCCTGCCTCCGTAACCACTCGCTGAGCAACTCCACTAGCTCAACGAGTGTGCATAATCTGCAACACCAAATCTGTAGAATTACGCAACCTACACCAAGTTTACCAATTCAACTATTTGTCCAAACTTCTAATCCTCCTAGATTGTGTTATAAACTTAATTGAACTTAGACAATTGTTTCTAGACCTTACAAACATCATTCTAAAGCGGTTACTAAACAAAATACACTTCAAAATCTATAAAACACCAACTTATAGACCCAAATCTCGTTCTACTACTTTTGGCACAATTTTAAACAACTTAGGGGCTCTAGCAACTTCCAAATGACTTACCTAAACTATTACAACTGACCATTTGGGTGTCCAATCTCTAAATCAAAATTTCACTACTCCACTTCCTCAAAACTCACCCAAAATCAAATGAAAACTACTTCTACTCATCAATAAACCTTCTTATCACAGATTTCAAACATGTAATCATTCCATCATAGTTCAAACATCATTCAATTAAGTTCACACACACCATTCAACTATCCATACTCAAACCAGCCAATTGAAACATGAAACGTCTACTTAAAAACCTAACATTCAATTCAAATAACACAATCCTCATAAATTCATCTCACATACAAACTTAATTGCAATTAAAGTAAATCTAACTTCCCTTACCTCAACTAAAAATTTGTACAACTCACGAAACCCTGATGACTTACTTGTATCGCAAGAAAATTCTAGAAGCACCTACAAATCATCAATTTGGTGCTAGGAAACAACTCCTAGAACCTAAATTGAGTCAATAAACAAGGAAGAGATTCTTGATCCATGTAAAACAGAATCATCCTACATGATCAAGAACCCTAGAAACCAAGGAAAAAGGGGTTTTTAACTTACTGACTCAAATCTAGAAATTGATCGGTTGAAATGGTAGCCCTCGACACCAGGATCGCTTACACACCTCCTGATCGTCGAACAAATGCTCCAAACGTGAGAAAAGCTAGAGAGAAGTGAGAGGAACCAAAGATGATAGTGTTTTAGAGAGATAGAAGTATTTTAGATAATGAACCAAGTTTTAAAAAAGTTCTATTTATATTATAAGACTATTTTAGAATAAAGTATTCGGTCTCATTATTTTAATATACCTATCTACTTTAATACTCTATTTTCTAAATTCTTATATTATTTTAATACAACTAGTGCTCAAAGTTTCTTATGTATTTTTCTTAACATTATTTTTTTCTTTTATATTTTACATGATTTTTTGGTTTTTTTTAATACATTCAAATGTATAAAAACATTTGGCTTTTCTTAACAATATTCATGCTTTTGTTATTGGTCACTAGTTTAATAAATTATTTTAGCTTGTCGTCTGAGTTTTAATCGAGCTTTTAAATTTCATAACCTATGCATGGAGTAATTCCAATCTCGGAGCAAGACACATGATTATCAGAAACCATCTTTGGTTCCTAAGCAAGATATATGGTTATCAGAAATCCCAGTGGCCAATTCCAATCCCAGAGCATGACCTATCGTTACCAGAAAGCACTGTTCGCCCAAATTCTAGTCTCGAAGCAAGCACATCATTGCGGGAAACCATTGCTTGCCCCAATGCCAGTCTCGGAGGAAGACACATTATTACCAAAAAAACTCATTGGACCCATTTCAATTCGTGCTATCGTTTAAACTCTTAAATCTTAAACCAATTTGTATTATGGATTTGACTTAGATTAAGTTTAAAAAAATTATATATGAATCAAAATTAAATTCGATTTATTAAGAATCTAGTTTATTTGGATTAAATATGTGGCGAGTGAAGTTAACTTAATAATTCATGTATTAATTTTTTTCATATTTATAAAACTATTACTACACCACTTTTTATATCTAGTAAATTCTAATCAGTATAAAATGTCGTTATAAAAAATATTTTTTACACTAGTGATATGCGCGGATAGATAGGGTTTTTTTTCTTAGTTTTTCATCTCACGAGTTAGGTAAATAAGAAGAGAAGGTGAAGTGATTTTATTTGGACATACCATTAAAGAGCAAAACGCTGCTGTTTGAATACAACATTAAAACAACAAAATATATTTATTAAATTAAAAAAGAGAACCATTTGAATAATCCAAAGAAACTCAGTATTCAATAAGGTTAGTAGAGAAACCGAACTCTTTATGAGAATCACATATTTATTGGGGTATTAGAGAGACGTTGCATATATTTCAAAGTATAGAAAGCTACTTATTCCTAAATATATATATTTGGTAAGACGTCAATTATATATATTTAAGCTGATTTTTCATCAATTTTACAAAAAAAAAAAAAGATAGACAGAGAAAATAAGTCGTGACTCCAAAGTTTCATGTGCCATGTGCTGTAGACGCGCACCCAAACATACTGTAAGTTGCTATTTCACATTTTCTGTACTTTTGACCAAAACATTAAACCAAATAATCACGAGCAAATCATACATATTATTGTTTGTAAATGTTTTAGTATCTTTTAAATTTAATACATCATTTGATCCTTACTTTTGAAACTTTGGTTCAAAATGATTCTACCTTTTGAAAAAGTTCAGTAAATCCCATATTTTGTTTTAAAATGTTCAATTCGATCATTTTCGTGATGGTCGTTCAAAACATAATGGTGTTGATGCCACTGTGACCAAATCTGAGTGAGGTGTTATGTTGGATGATTACGTGGTGAAGTGAAGTGTGGGTTCTTTTATTAAAATCAAAGAAAATTTCAATCTAAAACCCTAACGTTTTAAGAATCCTAAAGTGGAAATTAGAATAAGAAACCCTAAATTGGGGAAAAATCTCCAATCTTTTTATGCATTTTTGCCTTCCTTCCTTCTTCACCAACAATGCGTCATACATAGAACATGGCTAATCCTTTCGCACTTTTAACCCAGTGATCCATGGGTTTTTCCTCTCTCTATTGTGGGTTTCATAAAACCCAAATCTTGATCCCTTTTCTGGTGCGCCGTCATGTTTTTTATCGTGGAGCTCTCGCAAGCAGTGGTGATCATTGGAAACATAATGATTTTTGGTTGCGTTCGAAGTGATGATGGTTTTGATTATGGTTTTCTTACAGGTCTGGCGAGGCACTCTATTTCTTCTTTTTCCTAACATAAGCTCCCTTATACATTCACAGCGGAACTCTGTTTCAGGCAGTGATGTTTCCTTGTTAGTGGTCTACGTAATCATGCATAAAAAGATTGGAGATTTTTTCCCAATTTAGGGTTTTTGATTCTAATTTTCACTTTAGATTTACCAAATTGAACATTTTTAAACAAGGTTTTACTGAACATTTTCAAAAAGTAGGACCATTTTCAACCAAACTCCAAAAATAGGAATCAAATGATATATTAAACATATTTCTTAGGTTTAATCCTTTACTACATCCCTATTTATGTACGAATTTCTCAATTGGGTCCTCGTTTTTTAAAGTGTATCAAAATGGTCCTTAATTTTGAAAATTGATATCAATTGAGTCCTTTCCGTTAAGTTGGCTGGACGGCGTTAAAAAAATTGATGAGTGGATGCTGAGATGACGAACGAACGCTCGTCCACCAGCGAACGAACGCTTGTCGACCTCTTACTACTGGACGACCGTTCGTTCGGTGGTCGACGAGCGTTCGTTCGTCA